TGTGTGTGTGTGTGTGTGTGTGTGTGTGTGTGTGTGTGTGTGTGTGTGTGTGTGTGTGTGTGTGTGTGTGTGTGAGAGAGAGAGAGAGAGAGATAGATCGAGTGTGTTTGTGTATAGGAGGATCAGGGTACAAGGCTAACCAATACGATAATAATGTTTTTTACCATCGAGCAGTGTAATGGTTACGGTGCACGCGTATGTGTGTATACGTGTCTTATATTCTCTTCTGCGCAAGCGCGAGTTATAACGCACACACCGGTTTGCCACGGGGTTGATCTATAGACAGAGTCTGATGAGGTTTCGTGCCCAGCGCATGTGAAAAGCTCTAACTGCATGTTGAACACTCAATACTTTGCTGCGTTATATAGAGCATATAGGTACGTATATACATTTTGCAATCGCATAAAATTTAGCACGTCTGTACTACACCGCATGATATATATATATATATATATATATATATATTATTAAAAACACAGATATGTCTATATCGTATACATAATATCACAAAGAGTTATGTTACATGAATATGTTTTTACACATAAATAGCCGACATTTGCAGGAGAACAACTCGATCCTATATTTATATTCATTGCATAACAAGCTATAGTGTGGTTCCCCTCTGGATAATTTCCGATGTAATATTTGGGTTACACTTACACCCCGAGGGCAAGTATAAAGACAAGATGTCATGTGATTCTTTAAGAACCTATTGTTTCGCCACAATTTAGAACGCATTACATTACAACCATAATAATTGACAAATCAAATCTACCCGTACTTTACATTTCGAAGCGGATATATACACTTCTGCTTAGTGGAAGCGCGCCAATAAATTGTGCTGACTCATGCTACTCGAACGTGCGCGCGTTACATTACAAGGCACTATGCACAAGGCCCCCCCCCCTCCCGCTTTCACTACATCACTGTGGGATGTGTGTTTATATATTAATAGCTGCGGTGTGAACGGGCGGGCATAACCCTGCAACCACTGAGCGCACTTAAATTAACACCGTTTCGTATATGGGTTGCGATTACGATATTTCTGTTACCGCAGTACAAGTCACTATATTTGTGAAGGATTAACAGGGCATATATGATACTTATTAACGCATGAACTTAATTATCGGTTTGCCTCAATTAGGAGCACAATACATTACAAAACTGAGAATCACAAATTAAGCAACTATAGGAATCAGGAATCTAATTGGTTATATTATAGTCAGAAACCCATAACTACACAGATGATCGAACTCAGTAGAGTAAGTACTCAAGTAAAGACAATACACTAGAAATATACACGGAGATACTACAGAGATTTAATCATCAATACACAAGCTTACACGTGTACAAACATTTTCTCTTTATCTAAAATCAAAGTCTGGAGAAATTACTAGCAACCAATATATATATTTCTATGTATATTACTATAACCCAATCAAACGTTCTCTCTCCATCTAAAGTCTAGAGCAACTACTAGCAACCTGTATATTACTGTATATATTACTATGGCCCAATACAACTTACACGTTGAATCAATTTTGTTCTCTTTGGATTCTTCAGATATACGCGGACTTCCGTTTATTATGTACCAGCTTCCTACCAGTCGTCAATGTTTCCTTTACGTCTTGATGGTTTTCCCGCGTCATTAACCAATTTGGTAATGATCTAACGTCGCTCTTAATTGCTACTTCGCTAATTAACGAACCTCCAATGATGCAGTTGTCGCTAGATGCCCGGCGTATTGCTGAATCGATACTCGCTTGCGTATCCGACGCTATTCTTGTTCGAATCAATCCACCAACGCTTCAACATTAGTCAGACCAGTGGCAAAACCTGTTTAAGATTGTACAACTATATTCGTTACCAACGATCAGTGAAACGCCCACGGAATTCATCCGCGGAGTGTTCGCCATCTGGCCCACTTTCTACTCGCTTCTTGGTCCCAGCGTCGGTTGGTAAATATAGCTGTCATTATCACTCTTCATTTTACTAGTCTTCTGACCTTATGCGACGACAACCGTACACGTGTAAACCGTGTATCTTATGATGTGCACGTGAATTCAGCGCAAGCGCGTCTGTGAATATTGCAGACTCATGCTGCGCAGATCCGTGTGCGTTAGACCGTGATGGCAAGTCAGCATTACGCGGCAGTTATAATATCTTTCCTACCACACAGAGAGCGACTAACTATTTGTTAGCGACAAACATGACTGTATCTATCAGGGCCAGTGCGCACGAGCAAGGACAGGAAACAGCGACTCAATATCAATGCGATGAATAATAAAATAAAGTTTCTCATTCAGGTCAATATTATTCTACATATGTTGTTTTAAATACTTCTCGAAACCGCAAAAAATGTATTCTCTCGACATTTTATTTTATTTAGTCGTCTTCTCGCGACCTTTGTCTAAATAATATAGAACACTTACAGTCTTCACTTGGGTCAGAAAATTTCGTTTGTCCCCGTAGGAATTTGCTTGTGTGTTACGTAGGAATTTACTTGTGTGTTACGGCCTGCTATTCCAGTGTATAACACTTTGTCTACACTATAAAGAATCTGGTATCCCCGAATTTTCTAAAACGGTAGAATATTAAAAAATATTTGTTCGTGCCTATCCAGTATATGCCAAAAGAAAAATGATTTTGTTGAAATCGTTTTTTCCAAGAGGACATCACATATACACTAGTTGCGCGATAGAAAAAATGTGCATTCGAATATCTTTATAATTTAAGCGCCCTATCGTCCCGAATTTCTCCAATGCTGCAGAAAATGTGAATGCATGCGGAGGTCGAAGGGAAACAAGGGTACACCGTCCAGTTCAGTGAAATATATAGCAGGTCTGATACAGAGACCGCATTACACTTACAGATGATCATGCTACGTCTCAGCAACAGGGCGGTGAGCGTGTGCCGGCCTCTCATAGGAACACGCTGGTACAAGCCCGAACTACCTGACTACAACACCGATGTAAACATTCACGATCACAAGCTGAAACGACCCGAAGTGAAGCCGAAACCAAAGCCCACATGGGTGGGACTTGAGGGACTGGAAGAGAGAACTAAGGTAATTCAAAATGAGTTCAATGAACAAGGTGAAAGACCAGCGCAAACACTTAATAAAACCCAGTCCTCCAGCATTTGCACGCATAACTGTTACGCTCAGTATGTTTCCTTTTCGTAATCCGCGTGAGCAATCAGAAAATAAAAATGAAAATGCAATATCAGCGGGCTAGGATAAAACGCGTACATCTCTCACGCGAGCAACAATTCAAGGAGGTAAACGGACGAAAACAATGAATCGTTCACTTCTACTCTATTTTCACCTGATGCCTTGAATCCCGTTGACAAATGCAGGGTTCCCTCATTCCCGAGACGCTGGAGAACATGGAAAAAGACGAAGAGTTCAAGATAACAGCAGAAAACCTTAAGAAACTTGGTCAGAAGAAGCTGACGAGAGAGGAGAGGAAGAAACGACAGCGGGCGTTGGACAACCTCGGTGTCCCAAACTTCCTCTCCTTCTGGGCCGCCGAGAAGAAAAAGGCAGGCGTTGAAGAAAGTAAGAATAGCGCGTGAAGTAATTATCATAATATACCACCACCAATTCTAACCACGTCTAATCTTTCTAAGATAATACACATGTGACCGCGTTGATGTTTCGTTTCGTCAGGTGAGAAATGGCTGAGAAAGACTGAATTGGAGATCCTACAGTTGAACCTAGGCATTTACTGCAACCAGGCGTGTAGCCACTGTCACGTAGAATCCTCACCAAAACGCAAGGAGATGATGAACAGGGAAACTGCTGATAGGTGCTTGCACATCCTTAAGAACAGCCCAAAAGTCAACACACTGGACTTAACGGGTAAAATAGACAGCGTACATACGTGTGCCTAGCTCTAGTTTACTGGAGGCGAACGCTAGATTCTTTGTTCTCTACAACCGAAAAAGCCGAACCATGTTACTGTAGGGTAGCTTTACTAAAAGTATTCATAGAGTGAAAGTCAATATAGATGTTCTATGGTATATATATATATATATATATATATATATCTTTATTTATTTATTTATTTATTTAGGTGGCGCTCCCGAATTGTGCTCAGAGTTTATACACGTCGTGTCAGAGGCTCGAAAGTTTAGTTCTGATCTAAAGATTATCGACAGATGCAACCTGACATCCCTACTGGAGCCAGGTGAGCTGCTAATTGCTAATTGCTAATTGCTAATTGCTAATGAAGTTCATTGCATGATTTCTTTAGGAGTTGATAACACAACTGCGACTCTCACCTTCTTTCTCATGATAAGGACATTATTTCCTTGCTTGTACAAATGTGTTTTGACTAATCATATTGACCAAACTACAGCAGGGGCATGAATATCACTTTCATACACATATATTTTTGAGAGCTACAACTAGTAAATACGCTTACATGAGATTATCACAAAAATTAAAATAACTTAAGAGTATTCACAATTAATCTTAATCATCATTTTCAAATAAGGTCGATATTTTGCTGAAACAATAAAGTCTGTGGCAGTTTAATATATATGTCATGACGGTTGATTGCTAGTCGACGCTTGCGGACATGTATGAGAGTGCTGTTCTTGTGTCTCAGGTCAGGAGGACACCGTGACTTTCCTGGCGGAGCATCGAGCTCACATCATCGCGTCTCTCCCCTGCTACACATCACAGAACGTCAACATGCAGCGAGGCAGCGGCGTCTTTGATAAGAGCATCCGCGCTCTGAACCTGCTGAACGCAGCAGGCTATGGCAGGGAGGGATCAGGACTAGAGCTAGACCTTGTCTACAATCCTCTAGGTATAATCTCTGGCCACACAGCTATCGTGAATCAGAGTGCTAGGCGGCAGACGTTTCATGAGTCGTTGGGGAAGCCGGTCGCCATTCTATTTGCTTCCTTTCTATGTCTCTAAAGAGCTATATGCCTCTAAGATTGCAATCTAAAACATAAATTGCCATCTCCACTTTGTATTGCAGCATTATGTCATGTATTATATACGCGTATGACGTATACACACCTTGCTTTGCCTGTGTGTTAGACTGGTTTTACTTCGGTATTTTTGAAGGTGCATATTTGCCTCCACCGCAAGAAGAATTGAGGCAGAAATATAAAGAGGAGCTGTGGGAAACTTTTGGGATCGAGTTCAACAAGCTCATAACCATCACCAACATGCCAATAAAGCGGTTTACTGACTTCCTATACAGACGGTAAGAGCGACGTGTCCGTGTTAGGAAGCTGCAAGGTTAAGTGTGATTACATTGCCGCGGTATGCCTCCAAGTTGCAATCTTCCAGTTGGTGGCGGGATGTAATATGCATGGACCGATATCAATTATTACATGACGGTACTTTGTTGATAGAAGAAGAATCGGAAGGCCACAAAGCAGTCTGTTGTTCTCAAGTATATTGGCTTCTTGGAAGCCTCTAGGTTACTCACTGTGTTTTGCTTACAGGGGAGAGTTAGAAGGCTACATGCAGTTACTTACCAATAACTACAACCTGAATACGATGGACAACCTGATGTGTCTAAACACCCTGAGTGTTGCTTGGAACGGCAAGATTTACGACTGTGATTTTAACCAGCAGTTGGATATGCCGCTCGTCTTACAAAGTAAGCTCGACACCGAACGTACCTCTGTCGCATCAACAACGTGCAATCATGTTTTAACATGCAATTGCATGTCTTGTAACATCTAGGCATGTTTATTTTCATTCTTGGTATCTGTTCTGACTAAATGTAGCCTGTGTCCTGTTGTGCGTTGTCTTACAAGTCAGTAACAATTCAGGCGGGATTTTTGGCTGCAACACTGTTACATGCGTTACATTACAATGTATCACTGTGTTTCACTAGGTTACGTAGTATGAAACTGATACACTGTAGCGACACGTGAGTTTAAAGCTGAGTTTACACTTTGTGTTGGCGAATTGGCGAATTCCAACTTTCCAACGCTCTATCAACCGTTCTATGAACTGTGCAGTGCGTACACTGACGACTGCGAGTTGGTCAACTCGATCGAGCGGTCAGCGTCGATCGCGAGCGTACGCGTGGGGCGATGGATATAGGCATTATTGCATGTATAAATTCGCGAGGTACCCCACGTACAGGCGCAACGGCTCGTGCACAGTCACAGAGTCAGGATGCCACGAGGGCAGTGGATTACTGGAAGGGTTGCCCATTGGGATTTCTCCATGCTCATGCTGTCGACCTCCTGTGCACGAGTCTTTGCGCCAGTGCGTGCCGTACCTCAGCTTTTATGCCACAGAGAGTCGCGATAGCTTCATTGCCTGACTCGCAGTGTTATACAATAATCCGATAATTACAATAACCCGCTTCAAATGCGTGTTTCCATCGCAGAACCTTTAGTAGTTATTCATTGTCTTACCAACAGAGGGTGCCACGGACTCCCCATCGAAGAGTGGCGCGTCAGTCTGGGATGTGGAGTCAGCGACCATCCTGAAGAGTTGTGCTATTGCAGTGGACAACCACTGCTTTGGCTGCACGTCGGGCATGGGATCTAGCTGTCAGGGAACTCTCTCTGCCTGATGGGAGCATGCTGAGAGATATAGGATGTTCAATGTAGCTATATATATATATATATATATATATATATAAACAAAGTCAAAGTATAGAATAAGGGTGTTTAAAATTTAATTGACAAGCTTTCGAGATTACATCTCTTTATCAGGTCAGCAGACATTGGAATAGTCAAATGGAATAGTCATTGGAAAAATGTATTACATACATTTGTTATTTACATGAAGTGTGTGGAAGAAAATGGATCAAATTTCATGGACATATTTGATGCACAGTGGTTTTAATGCACAAGAAGCCAGTGGTTAATGTTGAGTGTGTAGAAAGGAAAACGTATGTTTTATAGCTATACGGGGCAACGTTGAATATATAGTGGGTCTGTTAATGATATATTTCAGTGGGAGTTGTTGCATGTATATGTGATATATGGATCGACTTTTGAATGTATAATCAATGATAATTAGGATTAGCATAAATAGATATGAAACTTGATCTAGAAGTTATCAAATTGATTTGTAATTAAGGCAGTTCGTCGATTTGTAATTAGTAAATTTATTTTTTATGTCATATGGTAATATTTTTTAATTTGTAAATTTAAATTTAAACATAATCTTAAACCCCAATAAAATTATTTTGTAGATAAAGCTTGCCATACACGCACAATGCTTTTATAACCTGCATGGTAACGGAACTGTATAGTTCAATGCCAATGTCTAGTATTATAATATCAGGAGTAAGATAATATAGGATATATATCTTACTCCTGATAATATAACAGGACGACGGTAACATCCTGATGGTGTAGTGTTGGGTGGAGGGGGCAGCTGTCCCAAGCCTTTGGCGAAAAATAATGCTTACTAAATATAAGTAACCATGGAATCAATTTAATAAGTAATAGAACTATGTTATATATTCTTTATGTATTTTAAAACGATTCAATATAGCGATTTACAAACAATTATTTGGTTTGTTTTACTTTAATTGGGTGTCACTGAAATTTGCGTGGTAAAATAATATCAGGAGTTAATAAAGACAACTCGTCTTTAATTTGTCTTTATTAACTCCTGATAATATCAAGAGCGTGTCATCGGTTGTAATGCCGGCGTCTGCCGCGTGGTGGCAGCATCGTCTAGTCATGTATTGGATCGTAAATGTACATGTACGCTTATTATGGAAAGAGTTAGCTCCAAGAAACGGTCTTTGCTAGGGTTAGGGTTATTATTATAATTACATCTACATATATACACACAACCAATGTATTTTTTTTCAAGGACAATCTGTAAGAAGTAGTTTTAGCTTTTTAGAGTCATCCTATATACCTTACTTAGATTCATATATAAAGTAAAAATAGTTGTTTTACACGAGTGTCGACAGCAGATTAAACAGCCGCTATAGCTCGCTGATTACCGACGTACACAATAGTCGTTTCATGTTATCATTCTCGTAGATTCATGTCACAGTCCTGTAACAATATATAAAGCTTTGATGTAACATGTTTCACTCAGAACTATGTATCACACAATGTATACTGTATCACTCAGAAATTTTATTATTTTAACTGCTCAACACTATTGCATTCATTAGATCTTTTCTCCAAAAAGACCATCTTCAGTACATGTATTTGTAGTTGAATTACATGCAATAAAGATTTAATAATAATAATAATTATAATAATGAACAATTGCCGGTTCTTTATGCTGACCTTTCATCTACTGTTTCAGGCAATAACATTAACAGTGAATAAAAGTAATCACCTATTCCTTACTCCCCGCTTTGGGGGGTGAAAAAGTTGAGGCTGAAAACCAACCATTTGCCTTGCTAACTTTTCACAGTGCAACTGATGCCGTGGGCGATACTATCCGCGATAGGAGCAGAGAAATACTGAGGGGAAGGGAGTTAGACGGGAGGAGAAATAAAAGAGAAGAGAAAGGAGAGAGGGGCGGAGGGAGGGAAGAATGCAGAAGGAGATGTGCACACGCATGCGCAGTACACATGCGCAGACAAACGCACGTACGGCACAAACGGCACACACACGGATGCACATATTCTTTCTAATATAGTTACTTCTCTCGCCTTCCCGCTCACCCTCGCCCTCTCCGTGACCCTCACCCTCACCCTCCCCTCTCTCTCTCTCTCTTTCTCTCTCTCTCTCTCTCTCTCTCTCTCTCTCTATCTCTCTATCTCTCTCTCTCTTTCTCTCTCTCT